ATCTTTTTCACTGTTTTTTTTTCAAAATTTTTCCTAAAATCTCAAAATTTTTGTGATTTTTTTTTAAGAATCTTGAAAATTTTTGCTGAAATCTTTGAAAGAATCCAAGCTATTTCTCAAGTAATTTCTTGCTTTTTTATTTCAATCAAAGTGCAGTGTTCGGGGTCACGTTCCTCCTTCTCATAAATTTTATTAGGAAAATTCCGGCGTTTTTTTATAGATTGTTCTCCCATTGTTTTTTTTTTCCAAAATTCACAAATATTTGAGAAATACCTAAAATCTTCTCTACTTTCCAAAAAACCTCTGGATTTCCTGAAGTTTTTTCAGAAATCCTTATATTNCTCGATCGATCGGCATCGGCTTCAATCCTTCATCTCAATTAGGGTGGAAGGAATGAATTTTCCAATCGGGGGAGTCCCTTCGAGCTCACTCGACGTCGGAGAGCTGTTCGGGGTTTCTCCGCGCTTTCGAAAATTCATTCCTCCGCTCCTAAGTGAGATTCNTGAAGATAATTTTTCATTCTTCAAAACGAGCTCTAACTCATCCCAATCGGATTATTGAATCGGAAAATATTGACGATTGAAGGGGGACCGTTTTGCCCCATCCTCCCCTATTTTATGCTCGGAAAAAACCGACGGTTCTCTGATTTTGTAAGGAATCTGCAAACATTCTTGAAATTCCTAGNTCTCAATTAGGGAGGGGAGAAATTAATTTTTGAATGAGAAGAACATGTTCGGAGTTACTGCGCGTTTTGAAAATTCATTCCTCCTCTCCTACTAGAGACTAAGGGAATGAAACCACTGTTATTTATTAAGAATATCATTCTCGATCGATAGATGTTACGTTTATTCCCTCTTCGCAATTAGGGGAGGGACGGGGGAGAAATGAATTTTCTAATCGGGGGAGCCCCTCTGCGCTCGCCCGATNTCTCTCAATGAATGCTCACATCAGGAATAGAACCTGCCCTAAAATTTTCATATTTCTGGCTTCAACNCGATGCCGGAGAACCGTTCGGGGTTGCTCCGCGCTTTTGAAAATTCATTCCTCCGCTCCTACTTGAGTAGGATAGGATAGAATTTCCCGAAGATTCCAAAAAGCTTCATTATTCTTCGTGCATGAAAAATGGGGATCTTCGGGAAACTCCTTGGGCTCGCAAGACTTTTACCGATTTATTTTTATCCGTGTGACGTCCGTATAGAAGATCAAAAAATCAATTTAACAATGGGATAAATGGAGTGGAGNTTTTTTTCTCATTGTGACTCATTTCTCAACTTTCTCTCAAACATAATTCAGAGAGTAAATTGCTTGAAGTCAATGTTTGGTGAAACTTTGGTTAAAGCCCACCCCAACGTTGCTATGAAATTTTTTAATCCGTAATATCGGCAATTCAATTAATCTGTTGTTCATATCATCGTTCCGTACTTGGAATTTCTTAAAATATTTTTCAAATTCAAAATTCGAACTTAAAATTACAATTTGACTTCTGCTCCTTCATTTTTTGTGAATTGAAAATTCATATAAATAATTACATAAACATTCTAATTCTTGTTCTTTGCTGTCATGGAATGTTAAGTTACAGCCTTTTATTCTTAATACAACTTTTTAATGTAAATATTGTGCGGTTGAAAATTCATGTAACTTGAGAGTTTTTATCTTCATGCTATTAAAAAGTGTTGATTTCTATTGAATTTTCAGTGAAATTTGAAATGTCATAACTTTTCCCTCTGAAACTGAAATCAATGTTTCTCCTCTAAAAATTGCTACTAAACTGAGCATAAAATTTTATTTATTTTTTTTCAACAGTTTAATTGCTATTTACTCATAACTATTAGAGAACATTTAAAAAATCTTGAAAGTGAAAAATAGAAAGTCAATTTACCGAAGTAGACTACGACCATGATTATTTTTTATGTAAACAATTTAATAGCTTCCATTTTTTCACTCTCGAAGTGAACAATTGATGATTATTGTAATAGTATTTTTTCCT